GGGTTGCCGCATGTTAAAAAATTCAAAATTAATTTAGTCAGCAAACTAAGTGAAAAGTGTATAAAAATATATAAAAGTAGAGACGTTTAAGAAAGCTTTAATTAGAAAGTATTTTCGAAGAGGGTTGCCAGCTGTTTCGAAAAACAAAACTTATTTAATGAAAAGTTAAATTCAAAATTTTAATGCAGGTGTCATACAAGAAAAGGGTTACTTTACTAACAGTTAGAAACATCGGACCAAAGTTATAATACCATTTTATGTTCATGAAAGGTATAAAACAGATAAAAACTTCACTGCTTTATTAAAATTTATCATTAAATATTAATTAATTCGATCACATAATGAACTAAATGTTAAGCACCTATTCAAAAACCGAATCTCATATGAAATTTTTAATTTTAAGCTTTAAGTATTTTAGTAGACTCTTTTGATGCGTCTTTTTCTCTCTTGGAATTCACTTTTGTACCGCTATCGTAAACACAAAACACTGTAGTATCTTTTGGCAAACATCTTTAAAAATAGACTACATTCAATTAGGATTTTCATAAAAGAGATTCCTCAAAAAAAATATTCACCAATCAGATAATAAAATTAAAATATATTTATGTATGCATGTACACATGTATGTATATAAATATGTAGTCTACTAGCAGGCGCATTACACTACACGTGTAACCTTGTCCAGCTCACAGCGCCAAGCAATCCTACAGACAAACAAAACAATGTGTATCTTCATATCTTCAGTATCCAAATAAATAATCTTAACAATTTCAAAATTGAATTGCTGATAAGACTACATAATAATACTAGCATAAAATTGCTTGAATAAATTTGGAGATACTTGCAAGATTGAAAGCCAGATCTGACGACAGTCAGAAGGTCGACGTACATATGAAAGGAAAGTTTATTTGAATAAAACAAAACGAAAAAAGTAACACAAATAAATAAATTTCGCAAAAAGTTATTTCAGCGCCAATTTCCAAATAAGTGAATGCAAGAATATATGTATTTTAAAACCAATGCGGACGGAATAATGGAAGCTTTTTCTATGTGTGTGTGTGTGTGTGTGTGTATGTTTGGGCATAAAGTTCGGTGGCGTTGAGTGCATGAAATGCAAGAATAATATTAAGTTAAACTTTTTGCTATACAAATGCTGCAGAAGCATATTAATATGTAAATTTTGTACAAGAATTTAAACGTCTGCTATTGCACACACAATCATCATATCAATCAAATACTAATAGATAGTAAGCGAAGTAAGATGCAAGCGGTTTTTTTTTTCGGAAGCGCAAAATTTCTATGCATGTGCTACTAAATTGCGACGAAATATGCGATGATGATAGAGGAGAGTGAAATAAAAGGAATATTATTTGTATGCACTTATCACTAAGGATAAGTATTGCTTTATCCAAATATTTTACCTACGGTACGGACATACGAGTGCACATATCGTCACCTGAAATGCAAAAAGACGTAACCACATCATAACTTAAATGGAAAAAGTCGTAACTAAAAATTTTTATTTATTTTTTCATTAAATGATGTAGGAGTTGTAATTCGATGAAATCCATCATATAAATCAAAAAGTGAATTTTGAATTTTTTTATTAGATATGACTGTGAATTTTAGCGACGATGTTTGTTACGTCTTTTTGCATTTCAGGGATGATAAAAATACTTGCAAAATAGTACTTATATACACACTGCAAATGCCTAACATAAAAAGTATTTAAGATGCAAATACAAAATAATTTTACCAAAAAATTTTAAATACAAAATATGTTTTTTGAAAATACAAATACATTTGAATATACTTTTGAAATCGCATGTACATATCGTCACCTCCCTGCAAACCAACGTTTCCGAAATCTTTAACGTAAAGAACTATCTCTAAGGTTTCTTTAAGAAAATTCTAAAAAAAAAAATCAGTTAATTTTAAAAAATCGAAATGTGCACAGTTGATTTTATTTTAGACAAAATTCGACAAAAATTGGGAAGGGAAATAATTATTTAAAATGATTCATTACGAATTCTTTAAGATTTCCCTTCTATTCAGATAACTCTAAAAGCATGGTTTGCAGGACTTAAATGCAGAAGGCCGCAACTAAGAAATAATTCCATTATTTCCATTTCTATTGATTATGATATATTTCATGGAATAACAAGTACTTTTTAGCTAAGGCCTTTTATGCATTTGCGCAATGCAGCAATACTGCGTACTGCGACAATTTTTGTTTAGCGTTTTGCATGACCTTCCCGTGGACCGTACAGGACTTTCAGATTTTTTGAGCAGTGTGGCTATTAGATTAAGCGCACTTATCGAATGGAGTGACACGATATTAGGGCACTCTAGAATTTTGGAAGGTCTTCCAGTAGACTTCAGGCACCTGGACTACACAGTCTACTGGACTAATGAATCACTTCCAGACAAGGATCTTCTCAAGGGGTAATGGGAGGAGGATTCAGTAATGATCTCGTGATTTGGCTCAGCAGTCATCTACGCTGATGGCTTCAAGTTGGATCTGAAAACAGGAACTGGGGTATACTCACAAGAACTCTGACTTAGCCTTGGTTTTTCAACGAAGCCGCAAGATGGCTGATCGATTCTCTTATTAGCCTGTATGCGGTAACTATCATTTCTAATAGCCAGGCGACTATTCAAGTGCTTAATTGTGGCAAATCTACATCGAAAATTGCCATGGAATGTAGACGTACTCTAAATGAACTGGCAAGGTGTTACGTCACTAATGTTATATGGGTGACAGGCCATAAAGATATACCGGGCAACTGTGTTGCAGCTGAAGTAGCAAGGAAAGGAACCTTGCTATGTGCAATCAGTACAGCTCATAATGCGGGCATTCCTGCAAACTCTGGCTAAAGAATAATTTTATCGAACGGGCAAATAGAATATGTTCTGCAAAGCCTACGTGCACGATAGAAAGACATACCTGGCCTATGTTGGATAAGCGTAGATCTCGCCCTCTCCTCCGCTCTTGGAGCAACCACTACTCCGGCATGTAATTGGAGTTCTCAACGGGCACATGGCCTGATGGGAACCCACGCTGCTTGAATGGGTTTGCAGTCAAACGACTACTGTTGTGGTGAAGAGGAAATCATGGGATTGTGGGCTGAAGGCTGTTCGCACCGGTTGTTAGTGTTTTCGTTGACATTTCTTACATCCTTTGATTACAGTTTTGCTACACAAAAACAAAACCAAAATAGATGATACAATATGACTTCCACTCCGATAAATAATCAAAAAAGCTAGGGCAGACACCGTTTGGAATAAGTAGAACATGAGTTTTCAAGTAGTTTTCAGCGAAAAATGGCTTTCGTTGGACTGATTTTACATGGACGAAAACACAAGTTTTAGGTCGAAAACCAGTTATAGCAACGAAACCATGTTTTCGAGGTCGGTCAGAATATGGTATTACTTAACTATTACCTACTGTTTCATTTAAGTTCTTCGTCCCATTTTTTTCTCCTTGGGCCTCGTATGCAATATGCATACATAAATTTGATTTCCTTCACTAAAATTTACTCAATTTAATTTGTCTCATTAAATCTTATGAACCGACACTCTTCTTCAGCCGTAGTTAATGCTTTCCTTATCGCTCAACACCCATTTGCAGAGAAGCACTTTTGCCCGATTTTTTATAATTTTCCTCTGTCAACACTTTCTATACAATTTACCGGGTTTCTTAAGCCGCTACGACTGCAACTGGCTTCTCGCGATTTCTTTTCATTTCATTTCTCATCAACGACCATTTTGACGTTTTTTTTCTTCTGCTAAATGCATCATTTATTAATGCAATTGTGTATATATATATAATGTATGTGTGTATATAGGTGCATGCATATTTTTAATTAGCAATTAATGAACAACATGCAATACTACACCACCTGATTTAACCATTTACCGTTCGAGAATATCGGAGTTGTGTAAATGTTGGTGGGCGTATACATACTTACGATTGAATGCATGTATGTAAGTGTGAGCTTGTAACGGTGTGAGCGTAGCTGCATGCGCTTCAATTGCATTGCGGTTCTTTGTTTCCTCTTCCGTTTCCTATGCGTTTGATGTGGAGGAAGTAGTGGTTATTCACTTCGCTGATCTCGCTTGACTTTTGCTTTGGCTCAATTGCCGGTTGGCTGGCTGGCTGGCTTGCTGACTGCTTGACTGCTAGAGTGCCTGGCGCGCGCTGACTGGCTACTGCTTCACTGGTTAACTGCGCGCTCCATATCGCTCTCCCCTCCCTCCTCCTCTCTTTCCACATGTCAGCTGCTGGGCTCCATGGTACCATCACCACCCTAGCACATATTGATTTGGATCTTCGCCGCTTCGCTCCATTTTTAATTGCACGTAATTGATGCTGCGGTTACGCTGTAGTGGCATAATGACTAATTGAAGTTAAAATAAGAAATGACGAATGCGTTGAACGAAGATGAGTGCATGGCGATGAAATTGAAATGAAGTGGTCTTGCAGTGAAATGAAGGAAATAAATTGGCAGCGGATTTGTGTGAGTGACTGAAGGTGGGGGCAGCAGGGGTGGCAGACGCTCAATAAATGTGTTTATAATTGAATTAATTTTTGTGTTAATAAGGCGAATACTTAATTGATAAAATGAGATTTACATGTATTTCTTGTGTTCGGCATGCTGATTAACTGAGGATTTGCCCTTCCCTTGTTGAAATGTAAAATGTTTAATTGAATTTTAATGACATGATTGATGGATTGACGTTTTGAAATTTTGAGTGCGTGTGTGTGCTACAAAAAGGTTTGCAAGTGATAAGTACTCCTTTTTCATACATACATATACACAAACAAATTATTTTAGTAGTGAAAAGTGTATTGCCTGCTTAATGAATTAATTTGTGTTGGAAGTGCGTAAAATGTATGAAAGCAATCGGATGAAGTTTCCAGCAAAAAAAAAATTGCAAAACTAACTATTTATCACAATTTTCATCAATCACTATTTCGCCTTTACTCTCACTTACAGAAATGGAAAGTGCTCCACGCAATGTGCAAGTCCGACCGCTGAGTTCCTCAACAATGGTCATAACTTGGGAACCGCCAGAGACGCCAAACGGACAAGTGACCGTAAGTAAAAAATATAAAATTGTATATATTTTTTTATTTAGTTTATTTAAATGTGTATGTATCCTTTTACACCTATAATACCTAAAATGCGTTTTTCTTGCATTTTCTGATGGAACTGCAATCGATGTAGTAATCGCCGTGACATCAGAGACTGATTATTTGTCTTTATCTGTGTAGTATTTCTTTGAAAAATTATCGATTTTCAGAAATACTTACAACTATGTAATTGCCTTATAACTACTTCAAATATTGAACAAACTCCTAAAAAGTACCGTGTGTGTACATTAGACTGCATCACCAAAAAAAGTTGCGGGGTTTCCGCCGGGATTACAAAATTTATTATATTCTAAGAGGTCCACCAAAATATTTCGGAAAAATATTAAGATTTAAGCGAGCTGGACCGATTTGAAAATACCTCCAAAAATTAAGTTTTTTATGAATAAAAATAGTTTCTTGAAGGACTTTTTGAAAAAAGTCCCCTCCGATGACAAATTAGATTAAGCTTAAAAAATCTGCATAAAAATATTTAAAAATCTTTTCAACGGAATCGTAAGAATGAGATTTTTGATGCTGTTTTTTTTACTTTTTCAAACCAAAACCTTGAATAACTGGACCAAAAATGTTCTGATTTTAATTTACGGGATCTCAGTATTTCTGGCCAAAAAACGTCATTCGTGTCCCATCTTTTTTCTTCGAGTACCAACACATCTTAATTCAACTTTGAATGACGTTCGTTCAACCTATCTTTCTCTTCCATCCTTTGAATAAGTTTATTAGTAAAGAAATAAAAAGTGTGAGAAAATACCTTTCCAATGACACTTCTCAAGTCTAAATCGGAAGAGTTTAGGTTCAGTTATCCAAGTTTTTCTTATACCAATCTTTGAAAAAAGTTAAAAAACAGCATCAAAAATCTCATCATTACGATTCCGTTCAAATTTTTTTTTAAATTTTTTTATGTAAATATTTTAAGCTTAAACCGTTTTGTCATTTGAGGGAATTTTTTCAAAAAAAAATCTTTAAGAAACTCTTTTTATTCATAAAAAAACTCCATTTTTGGAGCTATTTTCAAATCGGTCCAGCTTATTTACATCTTAATATTTTTCCGAAATATTTTGGTGGACGTCTTAAAATATAAAAGATTTTATAATTGCAGTGGAAAAATAGTACCGATTGTTTTTTGTATGGGGAGCGATGCAGTCTAGTGTACATATGTATGCATGTGCATATATATGAGTTAAGAATTAAACATTAGTTTAATTTTATTTTATTTGTCTCTGATCCTAAATAGGGCACTAAGTGAACCCGAACCCGAACTGATCCCGATTAAAATAAAAAAAAGTTAAAATTTTATATAAGTTTTTAATAATTAAATGAACTTAAAATAAATATGGTTGTCTTTTTAAGAATAAAATCTAAAAAATAAAAATAATTAATTAAAAAAACAAAGTAGGTTCCTAAAAATGTAATTTAATTAAATGTTTTGCTTTTTAAAATATGTAATATAATCTAAAAATTAAAATTAAATTAAAACGAAAAAATCAAATAAAAGCAAAAGAAAACTCCTAAAAATTAAATGAATTTAAAAAATATTTGTTTCTTTTCAAAACAATAAAATGTGACAATAAAAAAGCAAAAACAGAAAAACAATGGAATTAAAAAAGTATATGTTTCTAAAAATTAAATGAAGTTTAAAAAAAAATATTTTTTTTTAACATTAAAATCAAAAATGTAAATTAAAAAAGAAAGAGGAAACAAAATAAAATCAGTTTCGAAAAATAATAGGAAATAAAGAAAATATCTACTTTTCTTAAAAAAAAAATTTAATCTAAAAATTTAAAGAAGTTAAATAAAAAGAGTAATTTAAAAAGAAAAACAAAAAATTCCGCTGCCGAGGACTCGAGTTCGGAGCTCTCAATGGCACGCCAGTGCTCTGCTCACACGGACAGCAGCACGAGCTAAATGATATACAAGAGCTTTCTGTCAAAAAAAAAAAAAACTTTCACCATGAAAGTTGGCAAGCGAGCTTTTTTATAAGTTTCGTGCCAGAATAACTAAAGTCTTTCAAACCATCTTGCCTAGTTAGTGTATTTCAATTGTCTTACAAAAGACTTTCAACTATCTTAGCCAGAATTGCCCTGTAAATCGACTTAGCTGGACGTTCTGATAATTTTGTTATACTCTTTATATAACATCGGACCAAGTTAGAATATAATTACATGTCCATGAAAGGTATAATGATCATCATCCGTAGGAGATTATTTCACAATAACGAACATTATAACGAAATTCGTATATCTAACTAGCGAAAACCCGCCCGTTCCGCTGGTCGTCTTTAAAAAAATCTAGATTAATTAATTAAATTAAGCCGAAAAATACTGTGTGTTTTTTATAAAAATTCTCGCGCATGAATAGTAATGAAAGAAGTTTTGGATAGTTGTAGCAATTAAAAAACGTTTGATGTGATTTACTTTATTACTTTTTTTATTGTAATGCTCTTTGGTATACAATATTCTTCGTTTTTCCATGCGTTGTTGAATAAATGAACAATACCGATGGCTTACCAACTCTTGAGCATGAAACATAAAGTTGGCCATGAGAAAAACATGGGTATTCTAAATCAATACCACAAATTGATAAAGTTTGGCCTTGTGACTTATTGATAGTAATCGCGAATGCAAGGCGAACCGGAAATTGAAGACGTTTGAATTCAAACGGCATATCCGATGGTATCATTGGTATTCGCGGTATTAAAACGTCTTCACCAGAGTATTTTCCATTCAAAATTGTTGCTTCAATGACGTTATTCATCAATCTCTTAACTGTTAATCGAGTGCCATTACATAGTCGTGGTTGATTTATGTTTCTCAACATAATAATCGGTGCTCCTATTTTCAAGTTTAGCATGTGTGGCGGTAATCCAGGTCGTTTCCTATCAAATAGATGCAAAATATTCTAAATATTTACTCAAATGGTTGTTTTTATCAGAAAACAATTTTAAAAACGTGGTTTTCTCTGGAGAAAAAATACTCACTTGTTGTTTGCTTGAAAATCAGATCAGAAAGAAAGTTTGAGCGCGTCGTTGTTCCGTTCTGCATTTGCATAGATGCGCTCCCCTTTACACATAAACAACAACATCAATCGTATGATACATACACTTCGTCGTGTACGAAAAAGCGGAGAAGGAGAAGAGAACTGTTCTATTCCCCTTCGCTTTAACCCAGCTATGTGTTCAGGGGCAAATGACTTTTTTGCGTGAAGTCTGATATAAAATAAGTTCTATTTACTCTTCTTAAATTTATATAAACTTTTCCAGGCGAAGTAAAAAAACTTACATATATTTGCTTCAACCGTATATTTGTGAGTACACAGGTAATACGTAAATATATGAATGATATAGGTAATATCTCATATTAGCATAACCTTTCTGCAAAAAATTAAGGAAACGATCACCAATCACGCCGGTAATGATACAATGAATTTTTCACTATAACTGACTTCAGATTAACGTTTATATAATAAGCGTATATGTAACATTTTAAAATTTTTTTAGAATTTTTATTTTATTTTTAATAATAAGTGGTCTTCCTCTTCCTCTTCCTCTTCCTCTTCCTCTTCCTCTTCCTCTTC